TATTTTAATTTCCTCTCTCGTTATTTATACTTTTTTTCAGTTTTTGTTTTCTGCTGGCTTTGTTTTAGTTTTCATGTCGCGTACTTGACGTTTTTCATTTCGTTTTCTTTGGCTTTCCTTTTTTGTTTTTTTTTTTTTTTGTTTCTGCCTCGGCCTTTGTTGCTGGTAATTTGTTCTTGTTCTGCATAAGTTTGCCTTGGAAAAGGGGGTGGGGCAGTGGGTGTTGGGTGGTGGTCTCCTAGGAAGCCTTGCATGGCCAAAGGACATTCCAAACGGAATTGGATGCTAGCGAGCGTGTATGTGGAAGCTCCTTCTCCTTTTTTTGCAGAATTTTAATCATTTTTATTAAAGGTTTCACTTAACTAAAGGTAGAAATTAAGTTGTTTTGGGTCAACATAGTAGTTGTTTTGGGTCAACATAGTAGTTCTTATAAATAAAAGAAACTGGAAACATATTCATTTATAAATAATTTATTTCCTAAATATTTTTCAACTATTTAAAGTTGACACATTTTTTTATATGACTTTTGTAAGGCATCAATTTCTGTTTTATCAGTTATTAATAAATTTTCTTTTAAAAGTGTATTCCAATAATTGGAAATCTATAGTTTTTTTCAATTAGTCAAATGGTTCGAAAATAGTTCATTACTTTCTTGAGTCTTTTCTTGTATCATTAATCAATGAGTAAATAAATGCTCAAAGTATTTGCAGCACATTCCCCTCATTACCCTTTTATTCGCATAATTTTATTATAAATATTTCCCGCACTTCGATTTTCCAGCGCTGCGTATGCAAATTAAATTTACATTTATTTTTCGTGACTCGTTGCAAATTGGCGCAATGCGAGACAGGTGGTGCGGGTGGTGCAAGTGGGTGTGATTGGGCCGAAAGGCGGTTGAATGGGGGGCTGAAAGGGGGCGTGGTCCTGGCTGTCTCTACAGCTGCACGCTCAGCACGTTTATTCGCACTTAATTCGCACTTTTTGACACCTTTTGTGACCGAACCAAACCAAACGTGGCGAATGGACCTGGACCAAAGTCCGAAAAGTAAATATACAAACTCTGGCCCACCATTTTTCGCATGTCAACGGCATAATGTGCATTGCGAACCCGAGCCGAGAGAGAGTGGCGCGAAAAATTATGCAAAATAAATTAATTACCAATTAAGGTTGGAGTGGGGAAAACGCACAGCTGTTGTCCGTGATTTTCCACCCCGTTTTTGGGCTTGCAATTACCCCCATTTTCCACCCATCATTCCATTGCGTTTGTCACACGAGAGGCTCGTCGCCACTAATTAGTGTCATTAAAGCGCTCCACACGAGAGGAGCACTAGAGCACCCTTAAAACAACAATAATAACAACAACAAGAACAACCACATCCCCTTTTGGAAAGTGCATTAAAACGTGACACAAAATTGCAGCGAGCAAATAAATAAACCATAAACACAACTGACCGCAGAAATCAACTTAATTCCAAGAGAGAAAGAGTCTAAAAACTAGAAGGGAAAAATGGAAAAAAAAGAAAGGGATGGAAAGGGGGTGAGAAGGGGGTGGTGGCGAGTAAGCCAAGTAGGCAAGTAACTTCCGTTAACTTGCGTGCAAAGCCATAATTTCCAGCGGGGAGGAGACCCCTCCCCCCCCCCCTCCTTCTTCTTCTTCTCCATTGCCTTCTTCACGTATTCTTTTGCCCCTTTTCGAAAATTGGGGTTAAAAAGGGTTTAAGTTGCCGCTAACTTGGGTCACATGCATATGCATAATTATAGAGCTCCCCATCCGGAACGTAACGAAACGGAACGCTCCAAACTCTGGACGAGTGTTGCGAAACGCCAAACCCTCCAACGCTTAGCAAACTAAACTGTGAAAACGCCAGAGGGGCTTTAAGGAATGGAGAACGGAGAATGGATGGAGGGAGCACGGGTATTATGCCACTGGCCGGAATACCACGGTACGCCTCCGGTTCACCTGCCATCTGAAATTTGAATATTGATTGGCTTTAATGAGTGTCGTTGGTCGCGCAATTAGTTCGGCAAAGGGTTTTCCACACGGGGGGCTTGGAAATTGGGCATTGGGTAGTGAATAGTGGGTAGTGGGTTATAAAGAGGGGAAGTTGGGTTGGGGAAAAGTTCAGAGAAGCGGAAATGTGGGCTGTTTGGGGTGTGGTTAACCAGAAGCGGAGGAATTCCGGATGGCCGCAGGCCTGGAAACTCCAGATCCGAATTGCCTTTAACTATTGCTGGAGTGCTATATTCATATCTTGTGTTCAGAAAATATTATTATTCATATTTTGACTTATTTCCTGGCTAGCTCATTGGGTTTTTATGTTTACCGAGGCATTAGAGGCTGTAAATACTTTTCAAATCAGCTATTTTTGTAGAAGTCCAGATAACTAGAATTATTTGGTGGTGGATGATATTTTAAGCAATGGGGTTTTCATTTATATATAATTTTTTGGGAATTTTGAATATTTTTTTTTGGGAAAGGGAACTTTTAATGTACTTATTATTATATATGTATAATAATATTATTAAAATGTTGTACTTGATTTTGTTACTTCAAAATTTGGAAAAAATGTTTTAGTTTTGTATATTTGGATTTAATATGATAAGCTATATTAAGAATATAAATTATTTCGGCTTATTGCTTTATCTTTTTACTGTTTAGTTGCTTTCTTTGGGTGCATAAAAGACTCCTATATCCGGAATAGTTATTTTCTTGCTAATTGCCTACGCTAATTCTGTTTTGGGCATTTCGGGACTTCTTGGACTAGATTTAAAGGCTTCGATCGGCGAGTGCGCTCTAACTAAACTAATTACACATCAGTCAGTCAGTCAGTGGGTGAGTCAATCAATCAATCAAGCTGCCAGCAGCAGCGAGATCATTTGCCAGCGGCCTATCTCCGCATCGGGCCAAAATTGGATGCAAATTGAAAAGCATTTTGTGGGAATGTAATGCATAAATTAATTGAGCGGCCAACACACAGAGAGAAAAAGCGAGAGCTTTCGGGGAATGCGACGGGGGCCCCGAAAACTATGAATCTGCAATGAGTGAATGTGAATGTGAATGGCAAATGTGAATGTGAGTCCGGTGGGGGAGGGGAAAAGGCGTTTTTGTTGCCTGATAAAGCATTCATGCAGCCACGCCCACCGTCAGAAATGTGGCGAAATGCAATTGAAAATGAAAATCTAATATGGACGCGCGTTGCCGAGCGGCGTTTAGCATTCGATTTCATTTGTCTAAACTAAATAACAATGCAGTCTGTATAGAGGGGCAGAGGGGGCGTGGCGGGGTGGCATTGCATGTTGCAGCTGCCAAAATTGAGTTTTGATGCGCTCCATGCAGCAGGAGCCTCCATTTCCATTCCCAAACCCGTCCATTCGGTTCAGTTATTGTTTGAAACGTCGCGTTAAATTTACATAAATTGATTTGATTGAATTTTTATGAGTCGGCGGTGGAGTCCAGTGCGAGTTGGAAAGCCCCATCCACATTCGCATTCGCATTTGACCAACCATCCTGGCATTCCGGCATTCCATTCTGGAGATCTCTCTCCTCGACGACCGTCGGCCATCAACTGCTGATGACTTTTCGACCCCTTCGGCATTTCGGGGGAATCGTAGGCAACCGTCTAATTAAAGTCATTTCCAGCAGCTGCATAGCCCCAAAACCCAACCCCCATCCACGTTTTACCTACCCTTTTACCCCCCCCACCTCTTTTTGGGCCGTGGTCAAGTCGAGGTCACAGTTGGCGCTACATGGCGCTGGGCTTAATGCGAGCCATTTGGCCCGTACTCGGCTTTTGGACAACGGACAAACGGACAGGGGACAACGGACAAACGGACACGGACGAGGGCAATCAGCGAAAAGAGAGGCGGCCAAAAGCAGAACCAGACACAGCACACATTGTAGCCACCTTCTGTGGGGTGCACGGAATTATGCACAGGAAAGAATTATAAATACCAACGCAAAAGGAAAGTTCCACAATATAAACAAAACATAATATTTCCAGAAAATTGACAAGCTTATAAGATCCTTAGAGAGGAGTTATTTCTGGTTTGGTTTATTAATTTCTCAAAAATAGTTAAGCCTTTTATTTAACAGTTAAAAATTAATTAAAGGTCAGGATGCAAATTAAAATTTAAAATAAATAAAGTACATGTAAATAAATAAAGTTACTCAACTTAGTTCGTAGTAGTACTAAGCAATTTAGCCGAAAAACTTCTCAACCTTTGCTATTTGAAGAAGAAGCCTTCTGTTTTTTTCAGTGCAGTGACTGCAACATGGCCAAGGCATTGCATATTTTTAGGGTTTCCCCAGCGCTGGCTGAAATTGCAACAAACTATTTAGCAGCGGCGAAGGTTGGGGGGCGCCAATTTGTCATAAATCTCGTTATTTTAAATCGCCGCTTGGCATTCCACGAAATTCTGCGTGCGGGCAAATGGGCCTTTTGTTTGCATTGATTTGTTGTTGGCCGTTTGCCTTGCTCGTTTCTGTTAACGTTAACGTTATCGAGCGCGAGCAGTTGCAAATATTGTATTGGGGGCAATGAGACCTATTTAAAAATGGGAATATTTCTTATGTTAGACTTCCACAAGATGTATTGCTTGTATAACTTATTCTTGAACTAAAAAACTAAAAAAAAATTGAGTATGCCTAAAAGTATGCTTCTCAATACTGACATTAAGCACACTAGCGCCGCTGTAGGCTACAGCTGATACAGCTGTGAAATGCCGTTACTTTAAAATGTTTGCACACCCGAGGAAAAAAATGCATTTCAGCATTATGTTGAATATTGGTTTGAAACAAATTATTAGTTTTTGTCGTAATAAGATTTACCTAAAGTGTTTGGATTCAATATTGTTCACATACAAAATTGAATTAAACTTGGTCTCGAAAATATATGCAAAGTCCTCAAGAATATTTTTGATTTCGAGATGAAGTTTTTCTAGGGTTGTCTTAAAATGCACCAAAAAGCTGCACTTGCGCCGTTATCGGTTTAACTGGTATTTACCAACACTGTAGCGTTGGAAGCCTTTACCTTAAGAACTTTTGCGGGAGAACGAATTTTCAAAGGAAATTTGAGAAATAACAGACAAATAGACATGGAGTATCTGTACAATGCTAGTGTTCAGTGCGAGGATGAGGAGCGGGTTAACTACTTCAACTACGACAAGTTCTTTGTGCCGCACGAGAGGGCCATGGAGCTGGAGCAGCAGGCGGTCCTGCGGCAGCCCCAGTGGCAGCCACAGTGGCCATCGCACCAACAACAACAGTGGGAGTCGCACCTCCAGCAGCAGTGGGCCCTCTCTCCGATGTCCCGTTATTGGCAGCAGATCTGCAGTCCCAATGTATTCCATTATCCCCGTGATATATAAGTATGATCCCCGCCTAATGCGAATATCCACTGCTCTCCTTCCAGATGATGACTATGGACATAACCAAAACCGAACCCGGACTCGTCGGGCTTTCCTCCAATCAACAGCAGCAGCAACAGCAGCAGCAGTCGCAGCAATCGAACGCCGGGATGAACAGCGGCGGCCAGAACAACGGGCCCAATCCCAATGGCAACGGGAATGTGGTCAATGTGGTCAACTCCGGCGGTGCCGGTGGCGGAAACAATGGCAACGGGAATGTCCAGAGCATCGCCGCTGCCGCAAACAATAATAACAATAACAACAACAACGGCAGCCAATTGTGCGCCGGTTGCGGCAAGCACATCCAGGACCGCTACCTCCTCCGCGCCCTGGACATGCTGTGGCACGAGGACTGCTTGAAGTGCGGCTGCTGCGACTGCCGCCTCGGCGAGGTCGGCTCCACCCTCTACACCAAGGGCAACCTGATGCTCTGCAAGCGGGACTACTTGAGGTGAGATATGTAACTTGATTAAACCATAACTTCAACTGGAGTGTACTAGTGGTGCAATTTATAAGCTTCTTGGGGTGAAGTAGTTATTTTGGTTAATATGATACTACTCTACAAAATGCTTAGGATTAGAATGCTTTAATAGAAGTTATAATACACAATACAATAACTTCGCAGAATGTATTATGATTTGTTGAGTGTACATATATGAATATGTTACTGAATTCGAAAGAAATTAATCTTTGAGAAGTATAGAAAATCATATTAAATCATTAGTCCTTAAAAAGTAGGTCAGTAGCAATAGCAAGAAACAAAGAAAGTCTAGACCACTTAATAAGTCCTATGATTTATTTAAGTTGTTAACAAATTTGAAATGTTTGATAAGAAGTTTTAATAAAGGATCAAGAAAGCTTAGCTATTATTTATATTTTAAAGGATTTAAATGAATTGATGGGTTATTTAGAAGTTAGGCCAAATATTTACTTAAATAATTTATAATAATAATTTGCTGTTTTTATTTCTCCACAAGTGTGCTAACTACCTTTTCTACCATTATCTCCCCGGCAGATTGTTCGGCAACACGGGCTACTGCGCCGCGTGCAGCAAGGTGATCCCGGCCTTTGAGATGGTGATGCGCGCCCGCACCAACGTGTACCACCTGGAATGCTTCGCCTGTCAGCAGTGCAACCACAGGTGAGCATCGAATCGATCCCCTTTACTCCTCCACCACTCCTTTTTCCGCTTCCTTTGTGGCCATCATTCATCACGTCGTGAGGCACTAATGCCAGGCGGCCAACAAACGATTTCGCATGCATTTTTATGGGCAATTTGCACAGAGATTCGCAGTGGAGGTGGCCGCATAAATCCCTTTTTAATCTTCGGCCCATCGAAGCGGGCCCAAAGTGGCACTTGAAGTTTTATTAACGTGCTTGCCAGTCAGCAAATTGCCGTCGTTTACAAGCTAACTGGCAAAACAAACTGGGGGGGTGGGGCGTTGGGAAACCCCTTTAGTGTCATACGTTTTCTATGAAAACCGCATAAATTTCACATTGAACCGAACCCTTTTGGGTGCCATCAAGTCATCGTTCGTGCGCCACGGCCTCGAATATTTTATTGGACTTGGCCAATTCCTGAAATGTCACTCTGGAGGGCTTTAAACTGCAACTTTTCTGGCCGCGTCTCGTTCTTCCCTTTGGTCAGTGGCGATTCCGCCTCGTTTGGTTTGGCTTGGTTTGGTTTCGTTTTCGTTTCGGGTTTCTGCATTAATAATGAGGGCGCACATATGCCACCGCTTTCCCGTTCCCCGTTTTCCGTTCCACAAAACCCACGGCATAGTAGTCGTCGATTGTGCAACAAGGGAGCAGGCATTAAATATTAAAAGTGCCGCCACACGGCGTTGGCTGGTAAAAAATATTGAAATAAATGTTAAAACATATTGGCATATTGTGAGAATCGTCTCCACCCGTTTGACCCCGGCTCCTTATCCTCCGAACTCCTCCCGCTTTTTGCCCGACCTTTGTTTTCGCATTGCCTTTAAAAATGTATCAGGAGCAACGAACTCGGTGGCTCAAAAGGTGTCCCCTTTGTTTCTTGCTCAGGATTGGGCAGTTTTCACTGCAAGCAGGTGGCTTTTCATAGAGAAATTATAGAAATTGCCAGGCATACAAGAGCTTTTATTAATTAGTTGTTGGGGATATCATAAACTATCAAATAGAAAGAGAAGTATTGAAGTATTTCTCCCAAATAGAAAGAGAAGTATTAAACCAATAGGCTTGTTTTATGCGCCTTCTCAGTTTTTTTAATGGAACTTTTCCCTTCCTTTTGCTAATCAATTTTTCACGTAAATTAATTCAATTGCCGAAAAAATCCATTGAGGCGTGTTCGCATGGCCAGCGGCTGCTCCTCTTCCATTTTTATTTTACTCCTGTTTTTTGCTGGTTGGTTGGATGGCCACATTTAAAATGCGGGCTTTCATTTGGCAAACAAAAAGAGTTTTCCTGCCGCGTCCCGAGTTCCTGTTGCTGCTGCTGCTGCTGTTTGGGAAATGTTGCAAAATGCATTGGCGACTGTGAGGTTTGCATAATTTCCTGTCGTCAGCAGCGATGAACGATGAACGACGATCGACGACATCCTTGCTGCGATTGGAGTCGAATCCAAGTCAAATCTTTCGTCCAGCCGGATTCTTTTTTATTTTTTACGAATTTCCCCCGTTTTATTTTTTGTGTTGTGTTTCCTTGTTGGTTGATTTTTTTTTTTTCATTATTTTTGGTTACTTCCTGTTGACAATTTGCTGTTGGTTTCTTCTGTGAGCAAAAAGAAAAATAAGGATAGGGGGCAGGATGAAATGCCCGGATGTGCGAGTGCCGCACAGAGAGGCACTCACTTATCAACATGTCCGTGTCCATTTCCATATTTCCATCTCCATCTCGCCATTGCCATCGCCATCGCCATGTCACAGGTGCTCTGAATGCCAGTGGCAAAAGAAGCAAAAGTTTCCACTCTTTGTTGACTCTTTTTCGTGGACTTTTGTTGCCCTGTTTTGGTAGATAAACAAAGCGATTTTTTTCTGCCTGCCACGCCCACCAACCAACCAACCCACCAAAAACCCGTCCGTCAATCGATTTGGCCACGCAACCGAAACCAGCAGGCCAACAAAATGTTGACGTAAATCAAAAGCCAAATTTCATATCCGCTGTAAGTCTGCTGTAAGCTGATTTGCCCAGTCTCCTCCGGAATGGATGCACTGCCCCCGCCCCCTGGGATTCAAACTTTAAACGTTCCTTTTTCCCCCATTTTCATTCGGTGGATGGAGGAGTAGCCAAGAAGAGGGTATTGCAATGGGATGTGTGGCAAGATGGATGAAGTTCTGAGATTCAGAGGGGCCAATATGTTACCACCGCTTTAAGAAGACTCAATTTGCAAAAGAACGCTTTGTATACAATTACAAGGCATCAGCAAGATCAGTGGTTTTGCTTTTTAATTGCTTATATTATTCAAAAGCTCGAATTTCATTCATTTTAATTGGCAAAAACACTCTGAAGAAGTTAAATTGTCAAGTTCCAGTAGATGCATTTTTACGTTAGTGCAGGAACTTACTTAAACCTCTGGTCTTAGATTCTTTGTCCTCACATCAGATTTCACTTGCATTCATTTTAACAGATCTCAAGGAACATCATCAAAATATTTAAAAGAATTTTCTAAATTTAGGAACTGGAAAATTTATTAGATTCCATATTTCTATCGTATTTCATTTGAAAAGTTACACATAAGTCTTTAAAAAAAGTAAAAGGAAGATTTCCGATTACAGTATTATTCCCTTACCAACATTCTTGGCTGTTTATTTGGCTTAAAATCCTAGAGGACATCCACTGGTCTGGTCGTCAGGACCCTAAAATCTTCCCCACTGTGCATCCCATGGTTTTTTCAGGGCTTTTTTCCATTTGTAATGCGAGAACTCCCCTTCGGTGTGTTTCGCTTCGTTTTTGGTGCGGTTTGAGTGCTTCTGTTGGCTGTTTGCTGTTTGCCGTTTTCCCGGAGTGGGCGTGGCACAGCCGCCTCTGCCACCGGTACAGGTGCTAACATAAATATTTTGACAAAGGGCTCCATGTTCGCCAGAGAGGCGAACTTTATTTGCAGTTGGCTGAATGCACTCCTCTTCATTCCAACTCCCAACTACCCAACTCCCTCCAATTGAAGCCACCACTTTGGACTCCAGCCTCGCCAACTGTTGCTGACAGCGCTTATCTGACTTCCTTCTCCTGGTGTTCCTTTCCTTTTGCTTTGGTTTGAGTTTGGTTTGGTTTTGGTGTCCTGTCTGTCTGCCTTTCACTCTGAGTAGCTGTCCTTCGTCTTTGGAGCGCTTTTCTTTTGTTTTTGTCCCCGGAGCTGTTTGGCAGTTACAGTCGCTACAACCGCTGTCAATTGTCATCGCTCACCGCTCACCGCTCGTCGTTGTCTTTGTTTAAGCGTGTGGAAAAATCGTTTCCACTTCCTCTCCGACTTGCCATTCCCCGTATACTAACCATTTCCGGTTTCTTCTTTTCTTCTTTTTGGCTTCCAAAACAGATTCTGTGTGGGCGACCGATTCTACCTGTGCGAGAACAAGATACTCTGCGAGTACGACTACGAGGAGCGTCTGGTCTTCGCCTCGATGGCCAATCATCCGATGCTCAAGCGGCACGTCTCCTCCTTGGGCCAAGGATCTCCAACTGGAGCGGCCGGTGCACAGAATACCGCTGGCGGATTGCTGGGCGGCGGACCAGGCAATGCCAATGTGAATGGTGTGGGCATGGTCAACGGGCCAAGGACTCCCGGTGATCACAATAACAACAACAATGGACCACAGACGCCAACTGGCGGTGGATCGCCGTTCGCTGCCGCCGCTGCTGCCGCCGCTGCCGCTGCCCACATGAAGAACCAACTGGGAGCGTCCAGCTAAAATAAAGCCCTGGGCATGAGCGCTGCTGGCGGAGCTGTTGTGGGAGGATCCGGAATGGGAGTGGGTGTGGGAGTTGGCGTTGGAGTTGGAGCGGCGGGACAGCAGTTCTACTCGGGATTCGGACTGCAGCATCAGCACCAACAGCAGCAACAACAGCAGCAACATCAACAGCAGCAGCAGCAGCTCATGGGTTTGGGAATGGGAATGAGCAGTGGATCGGGAGGAGGAGGAGGAGGATCCACTGGAGGAGGAGTTGGATCCGCTGGAGGACCAGGAGCTGGAGGCGTTGGCAGCATCGGCAGCGGCTGCAAGCGCTACCAAAGAAAGTTCTACAACCGCAACTGAGAGACGCAATCGATGGTGAACGGATCGACGACAACTGGAGGGGAGTGAGAAACGCTTGGAGGAAGGGATCGACAAGAAATCCATGAATCGATATTCAAATCTTCGTTTGCTTCGCGACTGAGTTCAAGTTTTATATAGTTTTAATGGCCTAGTTTTTAGTTAGCCTACGCAAAAGTCCTTGCTGAAGTTGCAGACATTTTTTTGGATCCTAACGTTTAAGCGACAATATGTTTACTTAGTTCTATTCGAGGATACCCCACAGTTTTTTTTCTTAAAAACAAATTTTTTTTTTTTTTTTTTTATACTTTTACCAAGACCTGTACATATTTTCCTTGCGAACTGTTGACTTTTTAGCGCGATCCCAATTTTTATACATAACTTCACGATATAGATATATTTGTATTTATCTATGTATATGCATAAATAATTTTATTTTCACGCTCGAAGCGTGCGGTGCCAAAACAAATTCAAAGCAGTGCCAAAAAGTTAAAAAATAAAGGAAGTGAAAAGCAGGAAGCAGAAAGCTGGAAGAAACGAATGGCGGCTAATATCGGATTTAAGTGGAGCTACGAAATCGAGCGAGTTTAAACATCCCCACCGATCAATGCTCGATTTTCAGGGTGTCCTTTGGATCCGAAGGGAGCTGCAGAAAAAAGCAAGAAGGAGGAGGAGGAGGATCGAAGGGTTTAGAGGGCAATTGGCAAAGTGAACTTTGATGTGTAAATATTAAAAACATTCTGCACACGACTTAAGCACACATGATTTTTGTTCTGATTCCATTTTAAGTCTGTTGGAGCAACGTTGTTGATTATTATTTAAGTTTAGTTTAGTGCGAGGCTAAAGAATGTTCTTTCCACGGCGAACGTTGTATAGAAAGTATAGAAAGGCGGGTTCAATAATCCAGAATGAATAATCCCGACCGGCGGTAGATGTAAAGAGATAAAAAGATCTGTAGGTCGATGTAAAGTTAAGGACTCGTGTGCATGTGTGTATGTATATCTTAAATAACCAAGCGAACTAGTTACAATATGGGTGTATTTATTAACTCTTTTTTTTTTTTTGCAATCTAATGTATAACTAATCAATATGCGTAATTAGCGTTCGATCGGAGCTAGCAAATACGAGTATTCTAAGTGCGGGAGAAACCAAAGTGTGTGTATAAGCATCCAGTCTATCTACGAGCGATAAACAATACTACCTATCTATCGAATAACCGAAAAAAAACTATGTTAAATATCGTAATAATCTAATAATCAGACCTAAGTAAGAGCGATTACCCAATATTTTTTTTGTATCGTATTGTTAGAGAGCAGGCATAAAGTTAAATCAAAAAATCAAATATCTAAAGTGTAAGATAAACCCGCTTAGACTTATATAACGTACGTGCATATACATAAAAAAAGAAAACTGAACACACCCCATACTTCATGTTTTTTGGACGGCAACAATAATAATAGCGAAACCAGAAACAAATGCAAATGCAAATAAAAGAAATCAAAACTAAAGAGAGAAAAAAAAATTAAAAATAAAACAAAGGCAAATGCAAAAGCGAAAAAAAAAACAAAAGGAAACAATAAATGTAATTAACAAACATTTGAAAAAATTAACCCGCAGTTGTTGGCATTTATTTCAACGGGGGGTTAAGAATAAATGGGGTTTTGGTTTTCATGGGGTTTTTTTTCTGTTTTTTTTTTTTTTTTTGCTGGTTCTGGGTGGATTTTTGGGCCCAACCGTCTGTCGATTGCAGTTTGCCGCTTGACATTTGTTGACTCTTTCGCTTTGACGGCCATTAATCACGGCATTGTTGTTGCCAATTTCAAATCCACAGACCAGACAGCCAATCCGCAGCAGAACGGAATGGAAGGCTGATAAATGATGCCTCATATTTTTGAGCCCCGCAGCGCTCCGCAATTGAAATAATAAAACCAAAGCCGATGCCGATGCCGAAACTGAAACTGTAACCAAACCAGCCGAAAACCCAGTGAATGAGCCACCCCACCCTGAACCATTGATTAATGAAACTTTAAAAGGGAACACGCGTCTTTTGTCTGCGTAGACCGCAAAACTTTTGCCTTTGCCATGGAGATAGCGCATCTTTTCAATATACGATGCAAAAGTTTCACCATCTTACTGGTTGGATATGCGGCAGGATTGGGATCCAAGGAGCCGGGACCTCGACGCCGCTCCGGGCCATAACAATAAAAGTCATTTATAGATTTCGATTTCGGGCACATGTGAGCGCTGCTTTTTCCCCCAAGGATCTCCCCCTCCTCCCAATACAACATATATATATTTATATATGTACATATAACTTAGCCACTGAATAGTTGGCGGCTTATCAGCACTTTTGTTCGCAGGACACAAGGACACGGGGGTGGTTCGAGGTCCTTTGTCTTTGCGGCTCTGACTGGTGTCATAATCAGTATCAGTGCTTATGAAAATGTCCTTTTTTGTCTTTTGTCACAAAATGCTTATCAGCACGGCTTGCCAGTTCTCCCTGTCGACGCCATAAAAATCTATAAAAATAATGTTTCAATTCAGCATGGTCGTTGGTTTTCTGGTTGGGGGGTCTAGGGCTTAGGGCCGAAGGACCTCTGTCAATCATCCGGGGTGAGGAATGTGTTCAGGATATACGAGTAATGCTATAAGGCTAAGTTAAATCGCTGGCATTGCGGAATCGAAAGCGGCAGGCAATTAAATTCGCTTGACAAAAGCCACCCCGCTCATTGGATGCTTAATTAAACGAGTTTGCGCCAAAAACTCTTTTCATGTTTTAATTACGCAAATACTCGGCATAATTTACCAGATGCTATGACAACAAGTGAAGAGCGAAAAATATGCATAAGAAACAATTTGTCTAAGCTGCGGTGCTCCTCGTTTCCCCCTTCCCCCCTTAAAATGTTCCCCCTTCTCCAATGCCATTGTAATGCGATGGCTCTCAACGCCCGCCTTGTGTCAACTTCAAAGTGAAAATTCCAGAATTCACCTTGTTTGCATATTCCTCTCCTGATCCGGCTTGCGATTATGTTTCTTTGCCCGCTGCCAACTCATTCTCATCGCATAATTCCTGCGAGTCGGATTGCTCTGTGCAAATTAGTTCAGCGGCATGACCGATTCACTCTGGAATTCGGAGTAAATAATATTAGTCAAGGACTTAACCGAAAGGAGAGAAGGGTTAGCTAAGTGGGAGTTCTCTATGCCTTAATAGCTTCGGATTTAATTTGTTTTAATCCGTTTAAAACGTTTAATCACAAAATTGCCCAAAAATAGCGTCAAAAGGTTTATAGACGACCCCTAAACTTATTCAAAAATCAACCAAAATCCTTACCAATGGAAAGTTTTTTTTTTGCCCAAAACTACAAAAAATGGCTTAAAAAAACCCAGTTTTTTTGGAATATCTGAATATCTAACAATTAAATTGCATTCGGTGGCATGAATAGTTGGGCTTTTCTAGTTTCCAAAACTATACTTTGTTTGGCTGTAAGTTGTTTCTTGCCCAAATAAAAAAAAAAGTTTTTTTTGCCCAAAACTACAAAAAATGGCTTTAAAAAACCCAGTTTTTTTGCATTATGTAAGGAAGTACTCTTCCAAATGTGGAACGGCATACATCGTTGAATTCGCAATAAAATTTCCTATCCGATAGTATAAACACCCAAAAAAGTTGAAATTTTGCCATTTTTCGCAAAAAATGACGATGTTACCCCTTATGAAAAATGCGAAAATTGGCCAAAAATCATTTTTTTTAAATCGTCCAAAAAGTGATTGGGCTCGTTAACTGTGGTCATAAGGTGCTCAAAACAGTGTTTGGTTCCGCTGTAAGTCACTTTTTGGCCTTATTACAACCAAAAAACCACTAAAAAGATAGGATTTTCTACCAAAATTGGCAAAAATCCTATTATCTCAACGGAAGTTTCCTGACCATTCTTTTTCATACTCATCTACCCATCGATCAACGAGCGCAGCTGAAACGACGTTGGGGGATTCATCGAGGAGCAGCAGACAATTATTCGCCTTGGACGAGCAGAGTGATTTATTTATTATTAAGGTTTTATGTTACTTTAGAGATATTCTTTTAAATATAGGATATTTTATTATAGATTTTATGTTATTATTAAATGAAAATGAAATTAAATAAAATGTTTTTTCTTGGTTTGGGGCTATATTGAAAATTATGAGTGGTTTATAGAATATCCTCATAAGGAGTGGCTAAAAAGGAGTTGATGGCTCAAATCCCTAAATTCGATGGAAAAAACGAGTTCGAAAAGTATTACTGACCATTTGGACAGCCAAATTGGCAATTTCTGAAAACAAAGTACCAGGCGAACAGAAGTTTCTAGAAGGTGGAATTTATAAAATTAATTTATACTTTTATCCGAGTTTCAAACCCAATACTATCAGTGATGCTCAACCCACAATCCCAGTATTTTGCGTGGATCGAGCATAGTCAAGTTTTGAACCACGATCTTTAATACCATCCACAGATGAGAATTGTTGCATATCTTAAGGGGCTGCTGATTTTGGATTTCGGATTTTGTTGCCACCTTCTACGCATTACTGTTCGCCTGGTACTTTGTTTTTAGAATTTGCCAATTTGGCTGCCCAAATGATCAAAATTACTCTTCGAACTCGTTGTTTTCTATTGAATGATTGGATTTCAGACACCAAGCGAACATGATCAGTAGAAGGTCGGGTCTGATAAATATTAGTTAAATAAATAAGAAATACGTCTGTTTCAGGTTTCTGTTCGCCTAATGTCTAAAATTAAAAAATTATTCAATTTATAGTAAATACTCATCCGAACTTGCTTGTTTTCGACCAAATGCAAAAAATTGCGATACCAGGCAAACATATCTCATTGCAAGTTGCTGCAGGTAAATTTGCTGGCGTATCTGTTTGCCATGTTCCTAAAAAAATCCCCCACACGCTCAAATTTTACATTCAAACAATTAAAAATTTCATAAGTTAGTTTTTATAATCTTCAATAAATAATAATAAAATAATAATAAATAAATAATTCGATTTCTAAATAATATTACTTATTAATAACTTATTGCTAGTTTCTTATGTTTATTATGTTGTTATAGCATATTGTATCGCCGACCTCCTCTTCCAACTGCCCTCGTTGATCGATGAATCCTGAAAGTAGAAATATATATATTAAATATTTATTATATTTAAGAAGGTCATATCTTAGGGAGCTATTGGTTCGTAGGTATGCCAGCTATAAATATAGTGAACTTTGGTCCATTTTCAGCAAACCCATCATTAAAATTATAAAAAAATTGTTCATAAAACATAAATGAAGGAATCTATAATATTAATTAAGACAAAAAAGTGAAAACCATAATTCTGTAGTTATCTATTAGGTGGCATGCCTCTGAAAGTAATAATTTTCATTGATTTTATTAAATATAGAGTATAGTGTTTTCTACCGGAATTGTCAACTGATCTTTGCCAAATCAGTTTTTATGAACTATGGAACAATGGAAAAAGTTCTTTTTGCCAAAAACTACAAAAAAAAGCTTAAAAAAATTCAGTTTTTTTGGAATATCTGAGAAAGTACTCTTCCAAATGTGGAGTGGCATACATCGTTGAATTCGCAATAAAATTTCCTATCCGATGGTATAAACACCCAAAAAAGTTGAAATTTTGCCATTTTTCGCAAAAAATGACGATGTTACCCCTTATGAAAAATGCGAAAATTGGCCAAAAATCATTTTTTTTAAATCGTCCAAAAAGTGATTGGGCTCGTTAACTGTGGTCATAAGGTGCTCAAAACAGTGTTTGGTTCCACTGTAAGTCACTTTTTGGCCTTATTACAACCAAAAAACCACTCAAAATATAGTGTTTTCTACCGGAATTGTCAACTGACCTTTCCTAAATCAGTTTTTATGAACTAACAATTAAATTGCATTCGGTGTCACGAATAGCTGGGCTTTTCTAGTTTCCAAAACTATACTTTGTTTGGCTGTAAGTTCTTTCTTGCCCAAATAACAGACAAATTACCAATGGAGAAAGTTTTTGTTTTGCCCAAAACTACAAAAAATGGCTAAAAAAAAACCCAGTTTTTTGCAATATCTGATTATTTTATTAAATTATTTTAAATTTTAAATTGTTTTTATTTTATATTATTTTACATAATTGGCTATAATTATTCTCTAGGCTCATGCTGACTAAAATTATAAAAATTAGGAGTAACCCATTTTGAAAATCCACTTTTCTTCAGCCTAGGCATCGATCGGGGCCACAGCGTTGGATTCTAAATTTAAGAACATCGAAAACTCTCAAGACATGGAATGAATAAGTATAAGCCTAAGAAATAGTTATACTAAAATATGTAAATAAACGAGAACTATCGAAATTGTATTATAATTTTTGGGGGTTCATACAAAGGGTCCTGTTGCTCTTGCTCATGGGAGCAAT